TTGACTCAAACATGGAAAACCCACCTTCTATAAATTACAAATCAAACCCTAACTTCTCCCAAAAATTACTCAACAATACCAACTAATCGAAATGACTAAAATTCATGTCAAAACCCATAAGATGGAGTAGGACATCCCTACCTTAAATGGAGAGACCAAATGGAGAAGATGATGAAACTCGAAGTGCTCCAAACTCAAGGATTTTCGGATTGAAAGATAGCCCACACCAAGCTCTACACTTTATTCAAAGGACCAAGGGTAGAAACACACTAGAATTAGATGAAATCTTAGAGAGAAGTGGTGGTTTAGAGAGAGAGACAGGCGATCTAGGGTTTTAGAGACAAAAGGAGATAAAAAAGTAAAGAAGAAACAAGTTGCTGCGACTGATATATTCGAGGTTCGCTGAGCAAAGGAGTGGTCGCTTGAGCGACGAGACACAAAAGAATCTCGCTCGAGCGCACAAATCCTCGCTCGAGCGAACAACACGAAGCTTCAGGTTTGCAACTCAAACGCACGCTCGAGCGAAGGAAAGCTCGCTCGAGCCAAGAAATACAACTCTTAGGTCAAAATGAGACGTAGATGCACACTCGAGCACAAGACTTCTCGCTCGAGCCACCAGACACAAAACTCAACTCTCGCTCGAGCGAAGGAACCCTGGCTCGAGCGAGGGATCCCTGGCTCGAGCGAGAGATCTAAAACAAAGAGCTTGCTCGAGCGACAAATTATTCGCTCAAGCGAAGGCACAGAATTCTGAGCAGCAACACTTGGTTCAAACTCACTACCAACCTGTAACAAACCTGCCAAACGCATCCTATAACTCAAATAGAAAGTATTAAAGGATGGAAAGAAACAAATACAACAACTGACATCTACGGAACCAAATCCGGATTACAATAACCACTGGAGAAAAAACCGGGATCGCTATAGTTTTGAAGCCTGGCCTGGTTCATGGGCCAGGCCTGATTGGCCTGGTATGTAGCCTGACCCATCGGCCCACTCAAGGCCCGCCAAAAAACCTGGTCCGAGGCTCGACCCGTCTGACCCGGTGTTATTTTTAATGGAAAATAACAAAATTTTGGTAGAAAAAATTTTAAAAAAATTAAAAAATTATTTAGGCCCCACCCAAGCCCACCTAAAGCCCAATTCCAGGCCCAGGCCCAAGAACCGAACCCGAGGCCCGACCCATTTGCCCACCCAAAGCCCAAATACTCCTGGGTCTAGGCTTGGGCCTGGGTCTAGTTTTATGGCCAATGGGCCGGCTCGGTCCGGCCCAATTTTTGACCGGAGCCCGCAAGGCACGATATGGGCCCGGCCCACCTCGAGTCCTCAGACTGGACTGGGCCAAAATTACACCCCTAACGACTCACGAGACACTAATTTTTTTTTCGATGCAACAAAAAATGACAAAAAAATAAAAAATTCATAGCCACACAAAAGGACAAAAAGCTCATTCACACAGGCTTTGAGAAAGCAATCACGTCCTCTAGGACTAGGACAATGCCCCATTTGTGTCCACCGTTCAATTCAACCCCACTTTACTGAAATGAGTAGGTGAAAATGAGGATTCAAACCATGAATTTTAATACATTTGAATTTATTTATTAAAATTTTAATAAGTTTGAGTTTGAATTTAAGCTCAATAAAGATTTAATAAATTGAGCTTGAGTTAAGTTAGTTTAGACTTGACTCGAATTTGAGTTTGTTTATGAGTCTTAACGAGTCAAAAAAATTATAAATTTATACTTGTTTATAAGATTAAAGTTACAATTAAAATTTTGATTTAATAATTATATATACAATATATATAAATATATTAAAAAAAGTAAATATTTTATTAAAATAATAATATATACTACCACTATTATATAAATGTACTATCTATAATTAACTATTATTTATATTTATATATTTATGAGAAAACTTTAATTTATTTAAATTTATTTATTAAAAATTTAACAAGTTCAAATTAATAAATTAAGTTTCAACAAATTCTTACCGAACGGAGTTGACGGTCGTACTTATTCGCGAACGATTCTGAATCATGTGATCCTTGTGGTGAATGATGTGGCAGATCCTAGCTGAACATACATGTAACCCGACCGGCCAAACCAGCTGTATTCAATGAGGTGTTATTTGGAAAAAAAAATTATTCAGTGTGCTTGATTTAAGTTTTCTATATTAAGTTTTTTAAAAATTGATTTTTTCGGTTTTCGTATTTTTTTATTTTTAGTGAATGTTTTTTAAATTTTAAACATTTTTTTAACTTTTTTAGATGCACCTTACCTAGATGTATCTAAAAAGTAAAAAATTTGTAAAAAAATATTTTAAAAAATTAATAAATATATAAAAATACAAAAAATGTACTGAATTTTTATAATTTTTTTTTTGTATTTTTAGTATTTAGTGAATTTTTAAAAGATTTTTTTTACAATTTTTTTACTTTTTAGGTATATTTATGTTAGGTGTGTCTAAAAAGTAAAAAAATTGTTTAAAATATTAAAAAAACTCAGTAAAAATAAAAAAATACAGAAAATAAAAAAGTAAAATTTTCTAAAAAGTATTTTTTGAAAAGTGAAAACAAGCAAGGTGTGGTCAAATAACACCACGTCACTGCTAATCATAAATTATTAAACGTACGTATAACCCAACCAGCCAAACCAGCTGTATCCTTATTTGAAAATATATTATTAATTGGTTCAAGAATATTACGTAATTATATGTTTAATTAATCACAAATTATTATATTTTGTCATATTTTTTAATTATTTAATATAAAATTATGAGTCTCATTCCTTTCACCAATCATAATATATATGGAGCACCATGTGACGCTACTCCTAAACCAATCAATAACTCCTCGTCATTTGATAATTTTTGTTGCATTGCTTCACACCACTTGCTCGTTTGTTTGGGCAAATAACATTTTTAAATTAAAAATATTTTTATAAAAATTTTGTTTTCAAAGAACATTTTTTTGAAGAAAATATTTTTTTTTATATTTGATGGTGGTGGTGAAACGAAAGTAAAGGTGGAGGTGATAATATGGTGATGGGGCGGCAACAACGGTAATAACTATAGTGATGGTCTCAATGATAGTGGTATGTTAGTGGAGGTTAGAGCAGCGATAATATAGTGATATTGGTAAATTTTAGTCTATAAAATATTTTTTATCTTTTAAAAGTAGAAGATATTTTCAGCAAATATAACTTTTTTTTTTTTTTTTTTGGTTGATTATAAAAGATGTTTTCAGTTGATTTTTATTCTTTATTATACCAAATATTAAAAAATATACAAAATATATATATATATGTTTTCCATCCAAACAAAATGTCACAGTAAATACTTGTTCTGTTGCCTTCACAAATGAGACACAAAGTCATGGGATCAATTGTTTTAGCCAATCAACTGTCGCATTGCTTCACCCATGTTCTGACGTCTTCACAAATCAGACGTAAAAGTGGTGGGATCAGTTGTTTTTAATATTCGAATTTAAATTGGAGCGTCACATAGAGTTGTTCCAAAAGCAAAATATAATTTCTCGTATACTTCATCCAATAGGGTGTTATTTGTTACATTTGTTTTAAATTTTTAAGAGATAAAAAGTTAAGTTTGTATTAAAATTGAAGAGACAAAATGTTATATGTCACTTGTAAGTGAAATAGAGTAATGTTTCAAAAATATTAAATAATTTCTCTTAGGATAATTGATTAGAGTTCACTACAAAAAATTAAAGTTTTAGAGATTAAAATTTAGGGATAAAATTATTTTTTAAGGACCACATATTTTTGTTGTGAAAAGTATCATTATTATATTTTTAGCAAAAAAAGTGAATATTAGTAATGAATTATTATCTTTTTTAGACCAAATTTTTTGTCTCAAAAATAAATCCTTTTGAAGCCAGATTATTTTGTCCCTAAAAGTGTATTTATTAGTAAAATTTTCAAAATTGTCGCTAAAAGTCTTATGTTTGACTTTTTGGGACGACTTTTTAACAATTATCCTCATGCGATAGAAATTAATCGCTAAAAATGTCTTTTGTAACAAAATTTTTACTTTTAGAGACCAAAAAATTTAATCTCTAGAATTCTTACATGTTGTAATAATTGTTGGGCAAAATACACGCATTTTTATGAAAAGTTATTTAGTGGTCATGAACCCATATTGGCTATATCCTAAGAATGTTGTGATTGGTTAAGAGGATACAACTGATAATTTTGTATTAGGACATAAATGAACAACATGAGGCATAGTATTTGATAATTGGTAGATAACATAATCATATGGTACACTAAGGGCAATGAATAATTTTACCACTTTGATGGTTTAAAATTGTGAATCCCACAAGGCTCCGTTTGGAAAGGGCTAAACGGAGCTTTTTTGGCTATTTTAGCTACAAAATATAAAATAGGCTATTTTAGTCACAAAAAACAAAATATCACATTCAACCCATAATTATTACACTCTTCTCTCACAAAAAAAGTTAAAAAAGCCAAAAAATCAAAAAATTCTTTCCAAACCAAACTTTTTAGCCCAGGCAAAAATAGCTAAAAAAGTCAAAAATCTAAAAAGCCAACCCACTTTCCAAACGGAGGCTAAGAGAAAATATATAATAATTTTTAGGCAAATTTTTGGGACATCCTAACTTATTTTTTATTGACTAAAACAATAATTCTAAATACTTTTGTAATCATTTTTGAAAGACAGCATAACATATATCATAAAATGAATAGTGCGAAATATTATTCTAAAATTACCAAATAACTTTGTCTAAATTTACGGTTTTAGACCAATAAACCAATAAAAGAGAAGGTATTATTTTCACACATCCTGACAAATTCATTTCCACAATACACAGAACAAAACCATTAAATCAAATCAAGTTCCACAAATAGCTGAATTACACTCAATAGGGTGTTATTATTTGGCTAAATTACACTGAACTACCTTGATTTTTAAAGAAAATATAATAAATGCTATGACTTCCTTTATAATTGTTTAATCTACCTTAGAACTGCATCAGCTATTGCGCGGCTACGCGGTATGACCTGAAAGTGATCATTCAAGCCAAAATGTGCCATGAGAAGCCAGACATGAGTAAGCAACTCCCCTCCTCGTCTCAATTGTTGGGCATGATATCTTCCCCTGCATTGGCTAGCTGCATGACACAACATTTCCACCCATACTTCACCAATTATTTCCCATCTATTTCCTCTGTTACTAAGTTGTGATGCTAGCTTACACCCATGCAGTATCACAGAATTGCTCCTCTCCAGTTTCTTCTGTTCATACTTTTGAAGCAGCATATCAACTACTTTTCTAGGGTCTTTCTTCTTCAGTTGCTTCTGGATGCTTCTGCTGGCTGCTGGTGGTGGCAGTTTCAACCACCACCAGCACCAGCGGCCACTTCTTCCAGCTTCTGCTGCTGGCTGCTGGCTGCTGGCACTGGCACTGGCACTGGCACTGGCACTGGCGTCGCTACTGATGTCCCAGACGTCCCTGATGTCCGCCTCCTTTTCAAGGAAGTCCCCTAGCCCGGCATAAATGTCCCGGAACTTGGTGTGTGCCATCCCAAGTGGCAACATAGAAGGATGCTCGACTAGGAGGTAAAGCATATATCGTGACAAGTAATTGCCTATTTCATTAGGTTCGCCACCTTGGTAGTACATGATTTCTGTAGCAAGGTGCCAAGTAAGAATACTCTGATCGAACTCCAATTCGACACTCCACGCAAGATCATGATCATTGTGACTTTCAATTGTGCGGCCTCCCCTCTGCCCGTATAAAGCTTTAAGATCTGTGTCGTAGCCATACCTTTCCGTCCATTGCCTAACACTGTCATGGATCTCTTTGAAGACTCTGCCTCTTAAATCAACTTTGCTGAGTGATATAGGAGCACTCTTGTATTGGATAGTATCTAGAAATTCTTCAATGCCTAACATTTTTTGGACGCTAAGGCAGGGGAGGGGGTTTTCTCTCAAGGCAAATTTTAGCAGACTAAACTGAGCAATGGAATTCGACCACCTCCGTTTTGGAATCGCCCAATTAGTTAGTAGTGAATGTGAAATGCACTTGATTACTCGTAAGATGGTGGTTTTCTTACGCTTAACTAACCAATAAGCGGTTTGGTCGGAGAGAATTAGTTGCAGAAATGCCCATAACTCCACGAGAAGAGCGGCCGCCAACAATACCATAGTTATGTTACGGTCAATCTCGGAGTGGTGGCTATGTTTCTCTGTGACTAGTATTATCTCATGCAAAGATACCATCAGCAATACAATGAGGGTTAGAAATATTCCGATGAATCGTCCAGCAATGCCCCAAGCAGAGTAGACTATCTTTGCCTTTGTGTAGCGCAAATCATATATAAGCCCTAGTTCAATCTCAATTATCCTGAATGCCTTGCTCGCAGACATGGCGTGGTTTTCGAAGATTGACCTGCTTGCATACCCATCTTGGAAGCCCACTACAAGATCTGCAAAGAGACGCTTGACCATCTCAAGAAACTCATATGCTGCAAGTAATTCATTTCCATCAGGAAAACATTGTAGTGATGATGGAATACTATTGGTTAAATGACTCGGCACGTCAACCTCAAGAGTTTGATGTGGTGTGACATGGTACCCCTCCAATTGCTTCAATCTACATTCCTCCACAACTTTGGATTCACTAGAAGGGATATCTGGAATCGAGTCCCTAAATTTGTTGTCACTTGCCCAATATAGAACCCACACGTATGTACCGTACATTTTTTTGTACAAAATGTACTATAGACTTTCCCGGAAAATAGAGACCTTGTCCAAGCCAAAACGAAGATGTACATTGTGGTCATTGCTTGGGAAACTAGTCCAAATGAGTGCCTTTTCCACAACTCATTGTCTTCCAAGGAGTAAGCAGTAATTGCATCTGTGCCACCCAGGTGTAACAACATCATTGGAGCCCAAAATGCTAATAGCTCATACTCTGGACCAAAAGAATCCTTCCTGTAGACTTCTCCAAGATTATTTGAGAGTATTCCAGCGGCCATTATCGCTACCGCATCGGCGAGTAAGTAGGCCGTCCAAACAATGATTCTGATCCATGCTCCGGCAATATACTTTCTACGATTGCCCAGAATGACAAGAACTATTTGGGTAGTGAGGCTAAGTAGAATCATTCCTCGCAATTCCCATTCCTTCCACAGTTTCCTCAAATTTGGAGGAATCGTCTCCATCGTCCCCCTCTTGTTCATTATAATCATACTGCCAACAACTGATCAAAAACTCATAATTACTTACTAAATGCAGAAAGAAAAAGGAAAGAAAATACGTAGTGTAGATAAAATGTGAAAAAATTGATGGTTAATGAAGGGGATAATGATTCTTCAATATGAATCTAACAGCATGGGGATTACCAAACTTTGTTATATTATATTAGTACCTGCTTGCAACAACATCATTGATTTGCTTCCAGAATAGCTGAAAAATGCAACCTCTTTTTTGTCAAATGGGTGCTTTCTGAACTATATGGTTTCTTTTGTGATTGGGTGTTTAGCTGTGGAGAGAGAGAGAGAGAGAGAGAGAGAGAGAGAGAATGAATCCCGACTGAGACTAGGCTCAGTAGCCAGAAACAGTTGACCCATGCATGATAATTGGTACATATATAACTAGTAATTTATCAAAGGATGAATTACACTAACGGTCCCTATAGTTTGGGGTTCGCGTCATTTTGGTTCTTAACTTTTTAATTGTGACACATAAGATCATGAATTTTGAATCTTGTTCAAAATAAGGACAATTGAAGATATCGTTACTCAATTTCAAGAGCAAATTCATTAATTTGATAAAATATAAACTAATTTGATAAAAATAAATATCAAAAAAATATTTTTGAATTTTAAAAATTATTTATACACATCAAAGATAAAATTATATAAAATTGATAAATCTTTTACACATTTATTTATTTTACCAAATTAATTTTTATTATGTATTTGGATGATGATCATGTAGTGGGTGGTTATTTCTATTTTCATTAAATTAATTTATGCTTTTCTAAAAGTCAAATATAGCGACAATTTTGATATTATTATTAAACCAATCCATTAAATCAAAAAATCCAAAAGTAAAAACATTTCATATATTAAATATATCGATTACACATTAAAAGCCTAACAACCACACATTACATGATCATTATCCAAACACATAACAAAAATTAATTTGATAAAAATAAATAAATAAATGTGTAAAAGATTTATCAATTTTACATAATTTTATCTTTGGTGGGCATAAATAATTTTTAAAAATTCAAAAATATTTTTTTGATATTTATTTTTGTCAAATTAATTTATATTTTTATCACATTGACGACTTTACCCTTGAAATTGAGCAATAATATGTTTAATTGTCCTTAATTAAAATAAGATTCAGAATTTAGGGTCAAATATGTCACAATTGAAAAGTCATGGACCAAAGTGACACGAACTCCAAACTATAGGGACGATTAATGTAATTTGCCCTTTATCAAATTCATTGTTAAAAATTTGAGATAAATATATAAATAGAGATTTGGTTAGTTTTGACTTTCAAATGAATTTTATAAAATTACTCAAACATAAATGCACAATAAAATTAAAGTAAAAATTAGAAAATGTAATTTATTGTAAGAATATGTCACGTGGGCTTTGTCACTGAGGTGGATAACAAAGTTCTGTTAAAAAAAAAAACAGACAAACAAACAAACTATTTTTTAGTCTTTAAACAAATAACACCACTCTTATAATCCACCTTTTCTCTCTCTTTCTCACTTGTCTTGTAAAAAGATTATATTTTAATAGTAAAATATAAACTACTTAGATCACCATACTTTTTTTTAACAGAACCCAATTTAAATTTTGGGTTCAAATTTATCCACCCAAAAACATAAACATTTTCCACATAACTACTTTCTTTTTCTTTTCTTTTTTTCTTCTTGAAAATGATGTTACATTTCTTAATAAACATAAATATTTCTAATGATATCAAGCTACTTGATTTTTTTTTTCATTTTTTTTTATTTATTTAAATTTTGAGTTCATGCTCTTAATAATCAAGCTTCTTAATAATTTAGGACATGGCCCGTAAAACCTATAAAAAATAGGGACCAACTTCACACTTAAAAAATCATCGGGCCATACACAATTTCTTTAAGAAGTCCTCTTCTCAAGACACTCCTATCTACCTTATATAGAATAGAATGATTTTTTTTATTTTTTATCAGTAAAGAAAAATTTTATTAACAATATGAAATTATAAATATAAGAAGAGGCATGTATTGAGAGAGATTCAAAAAATAAAAAATACTCCACTACGCTACTCGCATTCATACAACTAGTGGCGCAAGTAAGAATTTCCTTTAGCGGGGTCATTTAACAAAGCATCATCAATGTCATATATCATATTTTTAGTTCTACACAATCTGTCAACCTAACATTCACATAATACTCTGTAAAATTCATATATTCCCAAATCACATTGACGAAATTAACCCAAACTAGTGAAAATCTCAAAACTTAATAAGCTCTAAAAAAAAACCTTGGCATAGTTGCTGTATAATTCCAAATATTGACAAACTCATCAACACAATTGAATCACACAACAACAACAACAACAAAAAGTTTTAGAGTAAAAGAAAGCTAACCTCGGTGCCACAATCAAAGGCCAAAGGGCCTAAACTAGATCAAAAGTCTCGGCAATCACAACTACCGCAGCGAATGAATGAAGAGGAATAAACAAATGTTTGGTTTGTTTCTAGAAGCGTAAATTTCTGAATAAAGTTTGATTTTATTTTCACCAACTAGGGTCAATTTGTAAAAGTTTAAAAATTAATTTATTTTATTTAGACCCATTAGGTTCAATTTGTAAATGCTCATAATTTTTTATACATGCTCTATCAAAAATTTGAAGTTCAGTGGTGTCAATTGACACCACTGTTCAAAGCATGGCTCCACCCTTGCATACAATTAACCTCTTGGAACCACAATGTTTTTTTAAAAAAAAAATTAGAAAGAACTTAACAAATAAAATACATAATCTCCACAAATTGGCAAAAGTACCCATGCTATTGCACTCTCTTTTGCCACACAACCCAAAGAAAAACACCCAAATCGAAAAGCATGCACTCTTGAATTTTCTATTCTTTCCCGTAGCTTTTCACCCACTACCATAGCATCAAAAACACCCATACTCAAAGCATGCACTCTTGAATAGAATGAAAATACTTGTTAAGATATGAAAATCAAAAATGCTTCGTAGCTTGAAACTGACGAAGCTCGAATGGCTTTGGGCAGTATTTTTTTTTTCTTTCAAACACAGACAGGAGAAGAGGAGAGAGAGAGAGAGAGAGAGAGAAAAGAGGAGAGAAGAGAAGAGGAAGAGAGAAGAGGCGACAAAGAAGGAGAAAAGATGATCGATGGTGATGGTGGCGGCGCCGGTAGATACGAGTGATGTTGATGAAGATGAAGATGCTCTGAAACTGAAACTCTGTTTTCTTTTCTTCTTCTTCTTCTTTTTTTTTTTTCTAAGTATATCAGGATCAGAAAAAAAAAATTTGTTGATGATGATAATGTGTTGATCAGATTCAAGGAGCTTTAAGATAGACCTTGTTTTTCTACTTCTCAAAAAAGGAGCCAAAAGATAGAGTGAGAGTGGAAGACGAGAGAAAGGAAGAGAGTCGAAAGGTTTAGAGAGAGAAAAAAAAATAATGGTTAGAGAGAGACGAAAGGGTTAGACACTACAACATTTTCTTAGTTTAGTGACATTTGAAAGTGTCACAAAACTATTCTTCTAATGACGTTTTTTGGTCTTGTGGCATTTTGAACAAGTGCCACTTCTATCGGTGCCACGGTAGATACTTGCAAGTGCCACTGCACCATCATGGCTGAAAACTTTCAATAACACGTGCCACTAAATATCATTTTTTGTGGCATTTTCTAAAAATATGCCACTAGTGTAGTGCCACTAAAGTATGTTTTTGTTGTAGTGAGACCACATGGTTAGAGAGGGGGAGACCAACAGTTTAGAGAGAGAGAGAGAGGATAGATGAACAGGTTCCTCTTCTCTTCCTCTTCTTCTTCTTCTTCTTCTTCTTCTTCTTCTTCTTCTTCTTCACTTTCAGCTTCTGCATCTTCAGAAAAAAACGAGAAAGAGAAAGAAAAGAAAAAAAAAAATCAAAACATGGTCGTTTTTCGATTCGGGCCATTCGAGCCCCATAAGTCTCGAGCTACAAATCGGGATTGATATAAAAATACTTGGCATATGAAATTAATTTATCAAATTCGTCGTTACAAATATGAGGTCAAAATGTAAAGGTGGCATTACAAATAATTTTTTATTTTTTTTTAACTTAGCAACATATTCAAAATTACGTCCCAACTAATTTTGAGATGTATTTATTTTGCATATACCGAGTAATGTCCGTCATTTGTACATTCTTGATGCTGTGTAGGACAAAAATATACATATTTTTGAAAATCGTTCTACCAAATTATATAGATGTTTCCCATGTTCTAAAAAAAAAAAAAAATTATACTTATCTTTTCAATTATTTAAGGGTGTTTTGAGAATATGGTTAAAATTGACTTTTTAGCTTTTTTTTGATTTTCTTTGAAAAACGTATAAAAAATGTGAGAGATGATGTGACCCAATTATGGATTAAAAGCTGGCTTTTTGTCTCATATATCATGGGAAGAGAGAGATTGGTCACAATTTGGACCTCTTTTTCTGACTCACCCTGTCTTTTTAATTAGAGACTACACATGTTTTTAATATATATAAATAAAAAAAAATATGTTTAAAAAAAATGTATAATTATTTTTTTATATTAAAGAAAACACTCTTTTATTTAGATTAAACATAATTATTTAATCTCCCTCTCACTAAACATAATCACTCCCACTCTCACTCTCACTCTCACTCTCTTTATCTCCTGTCTCCCACTCACATTGTATAACAAAGTTCTGTATGGCCGTGCCTCTAATTAATAACTAGTTTTTCACCCGTGCTATGCACGAGTTATGTTTACAATTATTTGTATATGTGTGAATTGTGATTTTTAAATTTTTTTTTTTGCACACAGAAAAAGGAATATAACAAATATAACATATCTTCAATCAATTATTTTATGTTTGTTTTTATTTAAAATTTAAAAACAATATACGAGCAAAATTTATAACTAAATTAAGGAAAAATTTATTTCTAACGACATTTTTTTACTTCTATATAAATCCTTAAAAAAATAAACCTGAAAAAGGTAGTCAATATAATATTTTTCATTAAGCAAAAAAAATGTCATTAGCAATTATGCTTACATAAATTTACTATAGTTTTAATTTCAAATTTTTTATAAAAAAAAATTGTTTTGTTGCAAATATTTTTAAAAGCATTTTATTTAGCTAATACCAAATAGAATTTTTTTAACAAAAAGGAAAGTCATAAAATTTTGTTGAAAATTTTCAAATGTCTATTATTAAACATTCTATTCTACTTGCTTGCTTGTTTGCTTACTCTTCCTTTGGGAGTTTTGATCTTTTATCTTTGCTCCACATTTA